TTTTTTACTTTCACTTTCGAGATTTGCGATCACACGTATGGAGCAGCACTTGGCAGCAGTACTTACCACACATTTTACAAGATTAGATTTTTGTCAGTGGTGCTCAGGATCTGCAAATCATTCGCCATCATCCTATCAGTCATCTCTCCTTACTCTGTTTTTGTGGTAAGTGAAATGTTATGTACTGAAATATTAACAGGCTACCGTTAGCAAGCGGCTAACCATGTCCCTTTAGTGGCTCTGTAGAACGCGTTATTTGGTTTCCACGCCTTTCTGAATACGGATTCAGCCACACTTCTAACCCAGTCAGGGGTGTTTGTGGTCCGCACAGAACTCTTATTTGATATCGACCCAAGTTACTGTAAGCGTTATATGCTATGCAAGTCTTTTTTTATGCCACGCAAGTCAACAGTGTGCGCGTGAGACAATGTGTTCTTCTGTTGTCTTTGACGGCTTTTAGGTGCGTTATTGGCAGTGCCACCCTCTGCTTACATGAACGCGTCACCACCGCATCAGCACGGAAAACATGGGGAGATTTTTTAAGACAATAATCGCACAACCTATTCGATATTCTATAATTAAATCAACTAATCGAATATTCAAAAATCGTGACCCATCCCTAATGAAAATGTACAATATTTATTTTGTTAGTGCACATTGTTAGTCTTTAGGTGAACAATAAATCCGTGCAAGTTAATCCTCTGAAAAAAATAGTTTGTCTTGGTAATATTTAATCAAAATCTGATCATTTGCTTCCGCTCTGAAATGGCACTCCTGCTCTGATGACGTCAGTTTGACGGCTTGGGCAGAATTTGCTTAACCACACCCCTTCAACCGTTAGTTTGCTGCGAGTGAAAGATGAGAGGAGGAGTGCAAAAATAAAACCCCGCCCTCTACTCAATATTCGGTTTCAGGTGTAAATACGTCACTTAACTTCTTGCATAACAGATATTTTCCTGGTTAGCATGGGTTTGTTTGCCCCTGCAGGTAGATGGTGTAACTACAGCATTGTTGGTGCAGAATGCATGCCAATTCGGTAATAACAAATAAATAAATAATACGTTACATATAAATGGAAAGTTTCAAACCACATACCTCTGGAAAAAAATGCTGTAGCTGGGCAGCAGCCGTTAAGATATACGGGAATGCTATTGGCAAACTTTCTTCAGGTTGTAGTTTTTGTTTGTAGTTTGAGTTAACGGGGTCATGAACTGAGAAATCTAAATTCCCTTGATCTTTTCATATATAAGAGGTCATTGTGCTATAAAAAATTCTGCAAGTCTCAGAACTCAAAAAACTTTCTCGTTAGTCTAAAACCAGCTTATATTGAAGCCAGTCTGCCAAAACGACAGGTTGTGGAATGTGCCACTTTATGATGTAATAGTGTGGCTAAACACCACCTCCGCAAAAGAAGATCAATGCCTGCTTCTACATCACTGCCTGTTTAGCCCCACCTACTGATTCGCGCACGTAGTAGGTAAATGACAAAGGCGGCAAACGTTTATGGTGCTACATTAGACAACCAAATAAAATAATATGTAGGCTAATTTACTTGAATTTTTGATAAAAATGTGTTATTTAATGTTATAAATGAGTCTATTTATAAATGTCTAAAATATTATAAATGAGTCTATTTAAAAATATATTTATTAGCCTACTTTAAATGAATTCATTAGGTCTACGTAAAAATCCTTTGAAATAAATGAATGAAGACTTGTTTCATCCAGAGTTTTGGAACGAATCTCTTGAATTAAGGATTCAGACATCAAATACATTTTAACAGTCACTGGTCCCCACCTACTGACATAATTTAACATATGCGCTATACAATCTATATTTGAAGCATAACATTAGTTTCAAATGTCATTTAGTCATTTTGATCGCGGCTGCCGCATCAGAGTCCATATACGGACTATAAACTTTTATCCCAATACTTTCGTTATTATTTAATGTTTGCAACACAGAAATGTAGCCTACTGTGTAAGTCGACTGTTTGTGAAGCCGTTTCAAACATAAAGCTTTACATGATGAGCGCTGCTCTCTCTGGATCAGCGGCTGCGCGAAAGCAGCTTTAAAACTTTTGATCCAATATGTCATTTCAAAGGTTTAATAGACATAGCGTAGACATGTCTATTAGACATAGACATAGAGTCGTCATTTAGGAATAAGATTGCATGTGTTTTATTCGGGCCCGGGCGGACACCCTGCTTCCGCGACCCATGACCATGCCTATTCAAACACAGCGTTCTGATGATGGGGGTCAAAACAGGACAGAAAATAGCCTATTACTTCTAAATTGATGTTTTTTGATGTAAATATCTTGAAAACAATATAAGTGGACCTCAGAGTACAGTACAAAATGAACAACAAAGTTCATGACCCCTTGTCTCAAGCTTTGGTTTTGAACTTAATAATTGTATAGAGCTTTAGTTGTAGTTTTTGTTTGTAGCTTGAGTTAAGTAGTAGATGATAATTGTCTCGAGCTTTGGTTTTGACCACATTTGAAACTTGGATTAATCTTTTGTTTATTTAAGATGCGTACTGATCTGTTGAAGCTTGACGAATCCATTTCCAGACTATTTGTATGATGTCCACTATTGTGTGACCATTATCCAGTCTTCCAGACTATTGCATCCACACCTTAAACAAGACCAAGAAACATGTCATCCATCCAAGCGGGTTGGAGTGGAAAACAAACCATCTACAGTTTCAGCTTCCTTCACCGTTAAGTTGCACCTGGACTATCGCCGCTGGACAAGCCCGACTCAGCAATCCAGAGTAGCTGAGGTGAGCTGAGCGCTTTTCAAACAGCACAAAAGTGATCAAAATATTGCCGTTTCCATGTGTACTGTGGCAGCATTATAGATGAGCATGAGCAAGCGTCTTCCATCACACTTATATACATGTGTTGAAAGGCAGAGAATAATGAGAAGGCTGGTTTTATGATTAACACAGGAACTCAACCAAGGACACCGCAGGAATAGTACCTGTCAAGCAGCTTAAGAATAAAAAAAAAATGACAAAAGCTGTCACTGACTGTCAGCTAAGCTAATCTTCACACTCAAGGTAAAGAGCGTCGATGAAAAACTGAGAGGCAGCTTTGGTTAAATTAGATGTGTTGAGGGCTAGAACTGAATGACGTCTAATTTAATGAGGCGAGGTGGTAACTGTCAGCGATGGCGCTATAATAACAGATTACAGCAATGCAAGATATAAAAAAATCATAACATTTCTGATTAGCTGCATGTCACCGCAGCCTATCAAGCAATCTTGAGTGTTAAATTTAATTTAACATCTTACACCATAAGAATTGTATTTACCTCAGTGAGCAAGGATCTTGTACATTTGTCTTGGACTGTCTTTGATCCATGTTCCTTTAACATATGTCTTGTTGAAATGCCACGCTAGGTGTGTTAGTATATCCCATCATTCTCTTCACCTTAGAGGGCCCCAAAACAGTTTGTCTGGCTGTCAACTTGTACAGCTTTCGTCAGCAGTGATACCCCCAGAATTGGTCTAATAGCAGACAGATGGTGCTACGCTAGACAAACCATTTGTCACGAGGGGAAAAAACCTAGAAACAGGTAGCTGAGATGTTAGATGTGATCTGTAACATAATAAATGTACACTCTAAAAAATGCTGGGTTGTTTCAACCCAACTTTGGGTCAAATATGGACTAACCCAACTTTTGGGTTAAAAATTTAATGTAAAAATTTAACCCAACGGCTGGGTTACCCAGTCAACAATTTGATCTCACAATGATGTCACCATGAGCTCACACGATTCTCATGGTGTGGTCATAATGTGTGTGTCACAGTGAGCTAAAAGTGTAACCACACAGTGCACTCACTGTGTGCTCATACTATGTTCCCAATGTGAGGTCACTGCACACTCACTGTGTGCTCATACTGTGGTCACAATGTGAGGTCACTGCACACTCACTGTGCGCTCATACTGTGGTCACAATGTGAGGTCACTGCACACTCACTGTGCGCTCATACTGTGGTCACAATGTGAGGTCACTGCACACTCACTTTGCGCTCATACTGTGGTCACAATGTGAGGTCACTGCACACTCACTGTGCGCTCATACTGTGAGCTCACCATGTGATACCACTGTCATATGATTGTGTTAAACTCATTCTTTTAACTGTGATCTAAAAATTCTCTAATATTGGTCAGTAATATCACAAACATGTAGAATTTCATCTTTTATTTCCTTCAAAGTATTTCTACAATTCGGTTTCCTTGTTCATTTTGATTTATTTTCAGTTTGGTGTTGGCATTTGACAGACATTTCAATTTAACAGATACATTCTGCTTCTGGTGTTGTTTTGATGACTCCTTTTCGATTCTTAACTTCGATTTCTTTGTCCCCTTGGAAAGACTTGACACATCGTGAAACACAGAGAACAATATGTCATTGCAATCAGTTACTAACAACCTAACAGGTGAAAATAACTATTAGTTAAACAAAATATGAAACAAATCATGCATCCATGCTTCCACAAAACATGCTTGTATAGTTACTGAAATTTGATCCCGAGGTAGTCATGTAGTCTAGTAATGATCTGATTTGGGAAGTATAACAAATCATAAATACTGATATGCAACCTAAAGCCAGGGACACACTTAACGACTAACTGAATCATTCTAAGACTGAACTGAAAACACTTGTGATTTTAAATGCTGACTGTAAACACCAACTGAACGCAAATGGCTCTGACACATTTGGGTGTGATCAGTTTTAAGTATCAAATTACATTCATAACCAGCCTTACAGTTGTGTAGTGTGTTCCTGGCTTAACTAATTAACTAATTAACTTAACTAATCTCAGCTGGCAAGATGGCTGGTTCACATGTACCTGGCTAACACATGTACCTGACTAATTTGCTAACATGGGGCCAGGCCACAGTGCATATTGGTTATCATATTAGAATATATCAATAGCAATTAAAGAAACCACTCACCATTTCTCCAGTGTAACAATTCCACAGTCAACAGTCCCTAACACAAATGTACATCACAATATTGATGTTTGTCTTCTTCTTCGTTGGAGTTTTACGGCAGTTGGCATCCATAGTGTTGCATTACTGCCATCTGCTGTCTCACTTTAACTTACTATATCTTAATTAAATTCGTCCTTCCAGTCCAGTCCTCCTTAGAAAATGAAACAAATATCTCCGTCCTTGGTCACTATTTCCATATGTTACTATATTTTTAACATTAAACTCTACTATACCTATTTCCCATAGCTGATCTGCATTAATACATGGTACATGGTAATACATTGTACGTACATTAATACATGGATTTATCGTTTGTATATATGTGTGTATATATTTAAATCACCTGAGGAAGCAGAGCTTTTGGGATCATCCTCATCTTTTCTCACACTTCCCTGAAGAGTATCTGTAAGACAGATCATGCAGATGAAAAGTTCATTTTAAATACAACTTTAGTTAAAAAGTTAAAACACTCGGCAGACATTCCAGACTGAACTTTCTAAATGGGTGGATTATTGACTAATGTTCAACAGAAGAAATAATAAAATATTTAAAACCTGGAGTGAAAAAATATAAAACGGCTTTAGAGAGTTCGGAGTTCTTCATAAATGTTAAAACAGGCTAACCATGGTATATAGGAGGTCTGGGCAGTGGAACATATCTTGTCTTTGGACCAGATTGCTTCACTCCATTCCCTGATTTCTTCAAATACATATCATCTGTTTATTACATAAAAATAAAGAATGATCACAGAGTTATGCCTATTTTTTTTTTCTGCATACCAAACCCTTCAGTTTAGACAGACCTTCACAGGAAGATGTTTCTGATTTGATGTCACTTTTATCACAGAGCTTCTTTTTCCTTTTTCTCTTCTCAGGTAATTCCACAACTGCAGGGTCTCTCATTGAATAAGTAATTGAGTCCTCTGCTGCTGAGACCCCAGTTGTGCAATCTGAGATATACTGATTTGCTTGATCATAGTCTCCTGTTAGTGGGAAATGTATGTATATTATATTATGTGTATAATGGAAATTCAGTCAACTATTTATTCATTATGGAATAAGTAAATGTATTGTGATTAGCAAATTTCTAAGACCACCTGTCATAAAGAGAAAAGACAAATATTTTAGGAATCTGTCAAAAACTTCTTTAAAACTAAAAATTTGATTGCGTTACATTAGACATATAACAAACTGAAACAACTTGAATTTGTGTTTTTATACCCAAATTTGAGCCACAACTTCTCTCAGAAGTCACAAATTAATCAAGCGTAACATTCAACCATTAAAACCTATTTTTCTATTATGGACTGCAAGTAAATAACTGTAATTGGGCATCTGAATAAAAAATAATAAATAATTTTGTCTTTCTACAATAATGTTAGTTTAGAGCAGCTGTGGCACAAATGATGGTCTAATAAATTTAAGCACTATATACATTTTCATGATTTTCAATTTCCAAAGACACACAAATTATTGCAATGTCTCACCAATAGATGGTCCAATGATCTTCACAATATCATAAACCTTCCAATTGAGGTTTGGTGGAGAATTGTTTTTAATGTTTGAGAGTGATGATGTCCATCGACACTTCAATCTTCCCTTGTCATCAAAAATCCAACTGATTGGTACGACAGATGTCTGTCCATCGCGGAATAAACTAATTCGATACTGAAACACACATGCGCGCGCATGCAACATGCAATAACATGCAATAAAACGAGACAAAAACCAATTAATGACTTAAGTCAAAATCAAACTGAATGCATGAGGGGTATAAGCACTACCACATTCGGCTGGTCTTTATCAATCAATGACAAAGGTATCATGATTGCTTTATGTCTCAGTTGAGCAATGTCAGCATGTAACATTTTAGTGTGATTCAGAAATCCTTTGCATATGCCAATGATTCTGGAGTCACATGGCTTAGTGTACAAAGGTTCCATTCTGCAAAAAACCTCACAAAAAACTAGATTTTCTTGAACTTCATGTATAATGCAGTACCTATCATTGGTCATTCTGTAGCATTCTTTTTTCTTTGGCATACCAGAGTTAACATTTGATTTCTTAGAACTTAATATCGCTTGCCTCTCTGCCAGTCTGTTAGCTACTTGAATCAGTGGATCACCTGGACCCCGGACAAACCTTTTGATTTTACCCATATTGTTCTCAAACTTGTACGCTGAACAATAGTGTAATGATCTGTTGTAATTTGCAACATCAGTGAGATGTAGCAAGCAATGCACATTATATGAGATGAAACTCCTGCAATACAAGCTGCTACCTTTTTCAACAAAATATGTTAACAGCTCATCTGCATAACCACGATGCTCCATTAGGTTTTCACTGTACAAGATGCACATTGCAATACTAAGAGAAAGGAAGTGAATATACTTCTCCTTATCGAGAACATATTTCAAAATCACTGGTCCAGTATAAAGCAGAAATGTTCGGAATTCAGTTGCTTTCCAGTGCTTCAGTTCATCTAACCCCCTGGGTTTCCTATTGAATTCAGCAGGTATGTTCAGAGTGCCTTGGAGAATTTCATCTTTTCGGTTTGATATTTACCTCCAGTTATCCCAAGAGCACTGACGATTACGTGATTAGACCAGTGCAGCATTCTTGGCTCCTGTTGTTTTTCAATGCTTGTTTAGTTATTGAAATATGATCACAAGTTAGTAATGTTGTACTGATCTGACATAAGAGGCCTAACAATTCACAAATACTGATATGCAAAGTAGCTGCAGCTAGCCATCTAATGTGATTACTGAAGCCAGGTAAAATGGCTGGTGCACATGTAGCATGTGCCAGGAGTACTCTGCTAACACAGGGCCAGACCACATTGCATATTTGAATTATAATATCATCAGAAAGTATGTAAATAGCCCACTCACCATTTCTGCAGTGTAACAATTTCTTGCACAACTTCTTCTTCTTCTTTACATGTTTTATGGCGGTTGGCAAACCAGCTTAAATGGTGCATTTACTGCCACCAACTGGACAGGAGTGTGAAGCATTGACTGCGAATTAGCTTAAGAAAAAAAAAAAACTCCTAATCTACATTCTGTTCAACAATCCTGTTTCCCTTAGATACCACATTAAAAGATTATAAACCCTTGACTCGTTTTCTGCTTTTCTAAATATACTTATTACTTCCTTGTACAACTGCACATATCTATATTCTTCTTTATATAGATCAGTGAATTTGCCATTATGATGTCATCTAGTGACATTTAGCTACCAGTTTTAGCAACTTTCAATTGAAGGCAGTTGGCAACACTGTCCACGTTTTCCCAGCTGTGAGAAACAGGAAGTAGAATGTCCCCTTGAGACCTAAATTTGAACTGCCTCCTCTCAGCCTGCTCAACATTTTGAACTCACAATGAGCTCACACATTACTCACACGTTGAGGATCACAGTACGAGGATCGTCTGAACTCACAATGAGCTCACATACTACTCACATTGTGAGGATCACAGTATGAGGATCGCGTGATGTCACTGTGATCATTGCATGATCTCACGTGTTGACTGAGAATGGCATTGGGCCTCCTCCTGTTTATATATTTTGTGTTTGGAATTCAGTATCCTAAAGGACTGAAAAAGACCCTGACCTTTTTGGAGTGTGTTGTTTTGAAATTGAAGAATGCAGATAGACTTCCTGTTACTGTAAAAAGGGTGTACAACTTAGACCTTAGGGGTCAATGTTCTCTCTTTCTGGGTCTCTCCCAGTTCTAGCTTCAGTTTCTATTGTTTTTTAAATCTGGAAGGATTTACAGAAATGTTAAAGGGGTCATATGATGCAATTTCAATTTTTCCTTTCTCTTTGGAGTGTTACAAGCTCTTGATGCATAAAGCCCAAAGTTGGGTTGAAACAACCCAGCATTTTTTAGAGTGTACTGTATGGGCACCCTTGTGTGAAAGATGTGAGCCTAATTGTGTTGAATGTGCACTTGGAGTGTACTTCAAATCTTAAAAGTATTTAAAAATTGTACTTGCTGATGTAATATTCAAGAATACATAAGTACTCCTTCAATGTCAAATTAAAAGTTTTACTTTAAAGTATATTGCATGTACAAGTACATCAGATTCAGTTTGCACTTAAATATAAATTTTTAAAGTACATTATTTCCATGAAAAGTACTAAAGTGTACTTTTTCACAAGGGTGGTGTTTTCACAGAATGCAATTTGGATCTACAGACCCATTTTTCATTTTACAGTATATAAAATCAAATTGTAATCTCTGAGTACTGCAAGAAATTTACATTTAGATTAATTCATTTGGTAGCTGGTTTTATCCAACAAAGTGCATTCACAGTGTATATTTTATCCATATGTGTATTCCCTGAGAATCAAGCCCATGATTACTTTGCTGTTACTAGCATCATGTTCAGTACAGCAACTTAGCATATGGTAGCGTTGGGTAATACCCTGTTGGAAAACTTTTGAAAGCTAGTAGCTATGTTTTGGATCATGGTAGCTGGTTTTCTAGCTAGTTTTTTAACCAGCTATCATGTTCCAAAATCCAGCTTTTCTATCTTATGAACTGTTTGGAACCTGTTAGAAACCAGCTACCATGTTCCAAAACCTAACTGTACCAGCATTTTCTAGCAGGAGATACAGATTTTTTTTTATATTTTTCAGATTAAACATCTAAGCTAATGAAGAGCTAAGTAAGCTTAAACCCTAATTCATAGCATTGCAACAACATCCTGAATTATGGACGCCAATCCCCAGGAGTTTAAGTTGAAATGAATCGGGCTAAGTTTTGACATTCATTAAGTTTAAGCATCAATGCTACCAGAACCAATTAGCGTAATCTGCTTAGCTGAAAGGCTACCACACATAGAGCTCTTTAAAACCTAGCAACAATGGGATGATATTAAAC